GCAGGCGGACTCTCAATCACTGCGCCACCAGGAAGCCCTCTTTTTTTAAAAAAAAATTAACTAATTAATTTATTTTTGGCTGCGTTGGGTCTCTGTTGCTACGCATGGGCTTCCTCTAGTTGCGGCGAGCAGGGGCTACTCTTGGTTGCGGTGCGTGGGCTTCTCATTGCCGTGGCTTCTCTTGTTGCGGAGCACAGGCTCTAGGTGCGCGGGCTTCAGTAGTTGTGGCACCTGGGCTCAGTAGTTGTGGCTCGTGGGCTCTAGAGCACAGGCTCAGTAGTTGTGGCGCATGGGCTTAGTTGCTCTGCGGCATGTGGGATCTTCCTGGACCAGGGCTCGAACCCCTGTCGCCTGCATTGGCAGGCAGGTTCCTAACCACTGAGCCACTAGGGAAGTCCTCTCAGATGGTTCTAATCTGGGAGACATTCTATATGTTTCTCTGAGGTTATGGCAGAAGTGAGACCCTCAATAACACACTCTACATTGGTTTTCCCTTCCCCCTGTCTCATTTCTGTTTTCTAGGATCACCTCCCAAATAAACTACCTGAACCCAAGTATTTATCTTAGGCTCTGCTTTTTGGGAAATCTAAACTTAGTTAGCTGATACCAGGAGTGACCTCAGAGTGAACACCCTCAGGATGGATTCTGGAACTGAATCACTCACTGATCAGATGGCAACAAGGACTCTGCTGTTGATGATAAGTTGAGCAGTGATAACCCCTGATATGCTGTGCAGTCACAACGACTAAACTCTTCACCTGTGGAAGACCGGAAGTACAAGTGGAAGGAACACACCAGATTATGTAGTAGCTCTAGCACAGGGATTCTCAGCCATTTAAAAAAATATTGTCCCCCTAGGGAGAAAAATTAAATTAATTTAAAGTATTCTGGGTGGGAGGTGGGCAAAAGAGGTGAAGGTGATCAAAAGGTACAGCCTTCCAGTTATAAATAAGTCTGGGAAATGTAACGTACAGCATGGTGACTATAGTTAAACATGCTGTTTTGCATATTTGAAAGTTGCTAAGAGAGTATGTCTTAAAAATTCTCATCACAAGAAACAAAAATTGTAACTGTATATGGTGATGGATGTTAACTGAACTTATGGTGGCAATCATTTCCTAATATATACATGTATTAAATCATTATGTTGTACACCTAAAATGAATAATACGTTGTATATCAATTATAACTTAATAAATTATCCCTAGCCAGGGAAATGAAATACTAAGGAATAAGATTTTGTCAAAGAGGACACAAACCATTATAAAATCTAAGATGCGTTTTGCCCAACTAAGAACAAGTTTTCACTTCCTTGGAGGTTGATATTGTCATTATTGAGAATGCACGCTCTAGCGCTTGAATGGGATGGGAGTAATGTTCATTATAATTCATGGAATTGACTGGAACTATCTTAAAAGCCCTGAAGAAAGAGAAATTCAGGCTCAGGTCATCCACCTATCAATTCAGGACATGTATGAGATCCAGAAGACCTACATGGAAGGTTTTTTTAAAACCCTCTTTTCCTGCAGCTAGAGAGCAGATTGTGCTGAAAATCAGGCCCAGAATGTAACAGTTGGGGTTTCAGAGACCCCTTGACTGTTCTCTTATGCTAAAGTCAGCGTTCCTGTGGGGAGTGGGATGAGGCCTGGGATGGAGACATTTGGGTAGATGCAACTGAGAATCTGGCACCTCTAACAAGAAGCCCTTCCCACTTGTTAGCATAAGCAGTCACCCTTGACTTGAGACTGTGTCAGGTTCCTATTGCTGCTGTAACAAACTATCACAACTGTAGTGGCTTAATACAGCAAACATTCATTATTTTACAGTTCTGTGGTCCGGAAGTCTGAAATTAGTATCACTGGGCTAAAATCACAGTGTTGGCAGGGCTCTGTTCCTTGCTGGAGGTTCCAAGGAACAATCTGTTTTCTTGCCTCTTCCAGCTTTTGGAGTTGTTTTTATCCCTTAGTTGGTAGCTCTCTTCCTCTGTCTTCAAAAGGTGGATGGAGTGCTCCTCACATTGAATCACATCTCACATCTGACCTCTTACGTAGTCTAATCTGCCTCTTCCTCACTCTTCCGCCTACTTTTCCCACGTTTAAGGATCCTTGTGATTACACTGAATCCACCTGGACAATCCAGAATAACCTCTTCATCTCGAGATCTTTAATTGAATCACACCTGCAAAATCCCTTTTGTCGTTGAAGGTAATATAGGCTCTGGGGATTAGGATGTGAACATTTTTAGGGAGCCATTATTCTGCCCACCACCGAGACCATGCAAAAACAGTTTAGATTAGAATTAATTTACTGGGTTATGATCTTGGGTTAAGTTACTTAACTCCTCTGTACCTCAGTTTCCTCACCAATAAAACGGGGGGATAACAGTAGTCTATCTCAAAGGGTTGTTAGAGGTTTAAAAGAGAGGGTGCTTAGAACAGTATCTGGCACAAGGTAAGTACTTTGTGAGCATTTATTAAATACATTTTCATAACACTGATTCTTATATATGTCAGGCACTATTCTAGATACTGGGGATATGGGTAGTACGGATAGGAATATGACTTGCTCTCAAGGAGCTCAGGGCATCAGATACACAAAGAAAGTTAGTATGCTGTCTGCTACATGCCATTAAAGGCATGGAAGTATTATAAGATTACAGCACTGTGAAGGCTCAGGAAAACTTAAGAAATATTAGTTTAATGAACAAATGAAAAGGACATTTGAGCTGGGCTTTGTAGAATGAATAGGTGTTGGCCAGTGAGATAAAGAGAGAAGGGCTAGATACATGAAGAAATGTGTGTTCAAAGAACATTAAGTATCATTTCAGTGTGGCTGGAACAAAAGATATACCATGTGAGATGAAGCTAGAAAGGCTGGTGTAAGCACCAAGGTTGTACAGTGCCAAGTTAAGGAGTTTAGATTTTATCCTGAAAGCAACAAAACCCTTTCAGAGTATTTAAACAGGGGAAGACATCAGATCTGTGGTTTTAAAAGGACATTCTGGTCACCAGTAGGAATGGGTTGAATCTGGAGAGACTGAAAGCTGCTCCATTTGTCTAGGTGATGGTAGTGAGTGAAGAGAAGGGCAAGGACTTGAGAAATAGTTAGGACTTGGTGACCAATTTGATAAGAGTGTTGAGAGAGGAAGAATGGGGGGCTATGTTCAGGTTTCTGGGTCAGTGGACTGCTGCATGGCAGTCCGTTCTCTAAGACCAGAAAGTAACGTGAGTTGCAAGCTTGGGGGAAAAACGTAGTAGGAATAGCCAACATTTCAAAGGGCTTAATACATGCTAAATTGCACTTGCTATTATTATGGTAAAACTGAGGCTTAAAGAGATCAAGTTAAGGATACACTCGTATAGAGAAATTGTGGCTTAGAAATGTTAAGGTCCTGTCACTAGCATTTGTATAGCTGGAATTTGAAGCAAAGCAATCTGATTCCAAACCCTTCGTCACTAATGTTGTTTCAGTTTGGGTCATGTGGAATTTGAGGTACAGTGGGGTATGGAAGCACTGCATTGGAAAATAGAAGAGGCACTGGGAAATACAGAACCCGAGCTCAGGAAAAAGGTTTGCGTTGAATGTAGCCTTCAGGTAGGAGAAAAGCGGGAAAAGAAGCCCATTCTTTTCTGTCTGTAACAGCAGTTTAAACCTCCATTATCATTTCTTTACCCCCTTACCCCCTCCAAAAAAAAAGAAACAGTATAAATGTCTGGCTCTGAGGTCCCAGGAGATGGGGTAGTTTCCAAATTCAGCGCTTGGCAAAGAGCAAGCAGATGCCGTGGTGCTTTATAACCTGAAGAGGACCATAAGACGGGGGGGTGAGCCATCTTCTTCGACACACCACTAACGACCCCAGAAACCGTCCCAAAGCCTTCCCGCGTCCAAGGAGCCTGCCCCTGTATACTGTGCGGGGCTCGAGGTGACACGCGGGCGCAATGACGTCACGCGGCGGCCGGGTGATTCCCCAGCCTCTTGCGTCATGCACCGATGACGTCATTCGAGGAGCTTGCTCCCCCCCCCCCCCACCCTCCACCCCGGTTGGCCTCGCTCACGTAGGTCTGTCCAGCCCTCCCCGCCCCCTCCCACCTGCGGGAGGCGGGCCGAGCCGGGCAACGCCGGCGCCTAAGCCTCGCGGGGGAAAGGGCGGGGGCCGGTGGGCGAGGCGGTCGGGCCGGGGGCCGGCGTACAATAGCTCGTCTTAGGTTGGGGAGGCGGCCCTGCGGCGGCTGCAGCTGCAGCTAGAGTCCAAGGTGTCGGCAGCACCGTAGACGCCCCCTCACGGTTCCCCCCTCCCCCTCTGCTCGTCTGTGGCGCCTACCCGCCCCCTCCCTCCCTGGCTCTGCTGTCCTACTCCACAGAAGCTTTCCCTCAGACTCTTATCCCCTCTTTCAAGGAGCCCCGCGCTCGCGAGAGCCCCTCAAAGAACTCTCTGTCTCCCCACCTCCTCCCCCAGAGGCCACCCGAGCTCCTCACATCTCTGACCCTGGGAGCACGCACCCCCCTCAGCCGAGTCGCCTAGCTCCCTCCGCCTCCCCCCTATCCGACTCCCCCCACGGTCGCTGACCACCCTCCCACCCCCGCCCGGTCCTGAGGGACTCCCCGGCGCGAGCGGGGTGGGGAGGCGCCGAGAGAGCAGCGGCGGCGGCGGCGGCGGCGGCGGCGGCGGGAGGGAGAAAGTGAAGCGTCCCCTAGTGCACTCGCGCGCTCACTCCCGGGCTCGGCCGCCGCCTCCGAGCAGGAGAAGGAGGAGGAGCCGAGTCGAGCCGAACGTACGCGGAAGGTGAGAGCCGGCCTCCCGCCCGGTACCCCTGCCTGTGGGGCTGGGGCGGCGCGGGGTGGGGCGCTGGGGCCCATTCATTCTCCGCGGTGGGGCCGGTTGGACGGGGGCGCCAGGTGAGGCGAGGCGGGGGCGGCCCCTGCGAGGCTGGCCGCTTCTGTCGGACCAACAAAGGCCCCCTGTGTACTAACCGGCGCAGCCGCCGGTCTCGGACGCCTGGGGCCCTGAGGGGCCCGGGGGAGGACAGGGGCAGGGGAGGGGACGGGAGATCCGACAGGTCCGGCCCCGGGAGCGACTCCCTCCCGAACTTTGTGGTCCTCCGATCCTAACCCTGGCCCGCGACGGGAAAGCCTAGCAAGGCGGCGTCAGATTCATTGTGCACGAAAAAAATCACCCCTGTCCAGGCCGTGGGGGGGAATCACCTATAGAGTTGAACTCCTTGAAAAATACGAGTGGATAGTGCTTGACTTGTGCTGCCCCTCCCCCACCCCGGGAATACTCTGTAACATGTGGAGTTAAAAACTAAACGGGGAAAGGAGAATTGGAGTTACTTTATGTTCATTATTCCATTTCAAAAGACGTGATTATTATAGTCTTTACTGTATTGAATATTTTCACAGCAAACATTACCGGGAGTGTTTTGGAAGAATGCTTGGGAAGTTTTGGGTGTTTGTGGGTGTTGGGAGCAAAGAGCTTGTTGTTTGTTAAGCCCTTTGGGTAACTGTCTTATGCTCCCCTCCCTGCCCCCCCGAACTGTGAAAGGTGAAGGGAAGGGTTAGTACTATGGTTACCAATAAAAATTCGGATCCACTAGTCTAGCCTTTATTTTAAGAGCTGTTCCTGAGAAAAATCTTTAATTTTGCCTACTGTGTCTTTGGGTTCTCTCTCTCAACTTTATCAGGAGAAAACAGGAGTCAACAGTACACAGATGCCTCCTCCTTGGTCTTACCTTATGACTTCATCTACTTCCTGTGTGACCTTGAGCAGGTGACTTCCAGTCTTAAAGTTCCAGGAGTTTGCTCTTGTGCCCTAGAAACAGGCAGATGTCTACCACCGACTTAGTTTTCAAGACTCTACTGAAGCATCCCCCCCACCCCACTACCCCTAGTGTGAAGTCTTCGCTGGCATCCGCCCCCATACTCCT